CATCTGTGCCCGCGTGCGTGTGTGTGTGTGTGTGTGTGTGTGTGTGTGTGTGTGTGTGTGTGTGTGTGTGTGTGTGTGTGTGTGTGTGTGTGTGTGTGTGTTTGAGTTCATAAAGTGACTGTGGGATGTTTGATCAGTGGTTCCCTAGAGAAGTTCTTGTCTCTATCAATCACGACAACTCGCAGCTGTGTGAACTCCTGTGTGAACATCTCTACAAAATTGCCCTTTCTGTTTGTCTTTCCGTTTGTCCGAGTGTGTGTGTGTGTCTGACTGCGTGGGTGTGTTGTTTGTGCTGTGTTGTATATCTTGTTCTGCCATATTTGAACAATAAAACAGGATATGAGATTGAAAACCAATACCCTCTCTGTCTCCTGATTTCAGTCTAGTTGTACGTGTGGGTCCGCAGTGGTTACAGATTGTGCTTGTATGTAGTATATGTACAGTTCACATCAAGATTGTCATATATTCCAAAAGACTGTGTTGGCCCCGTACGTTTCTCTAACAGTGTTCTAGGCATTATGAAACATGTCACTGGACAGTGCCCGAATCTTCTAAAAGGATTGCACTATTAGTGACAAATACAAAAGCTAAGATTCAAAAAGAGATTTTCATGAAAGCATTTGTTTCTTAAATGTCATGTCAATATGGGGGGGAGGGGGCGGACAGTTCAATAAACTCATTTTGTAATAAAACTGTTAAAATAAAGAGAACCCAGGTCTATTTAATGGAGGAATTTAACACCCCCAGCCCCACCCAATGCTTCCATTTTCTTCAACATCATTGCATCATGGCCAAATGGTGCATGCCTCATTTTTCGGTTCAAGTCCCTTCAGACCTCCTCTCAGGATTATGCAGGAATTCCTTATTGACATCTCTGACTTCTGTTCCTGTGAAGTCTCCAATTTACCTCAGTTGAAGGGAGAACACTGCCTTTACTTGGGACATGCTTACATTAGCCATTTATTTCTAATTGTTTAAAGCAAAAACAACGCTTCTCTCATGTTTACCCTTTTAATTTGAAACATCTGCAGGAAGTCAGTGAGTGTCACTGACGTTAGCTCAACGTGCAGTGAAACCACAGTAAAGAACAAGCTGGTGAATTAAACTGGTATTTCTGTTGAAAAGAGAAAGACAGTGTATTATGCTGAATGTACCAGAGTCGAGGGGCTTGTCATCTGTATTTTTCCCTTGGGGGGGGGTGTAACTGGTTTTACAAGGAGTCTGGATCAAGGACAGTGTCACATGGCGCTCCCAACACAGAAAGCATCTGTGCTGCGAGGAGCTGAGTTAATGCTCCTGGTGCAGTGGGATATCTGTAGGCAATGCCATGAATGACCAGCAAGAGGCAGATAGGTGGACAGCTAGTGATAAATGAGTGGATGATTTGGATCCACGACCTAGAAATGAAACCAGTAGGACAGACAATAAAACAAGTGGAAAGAAATAATTGCAGAGTTTTATACAGGCAGGAGAAGAGCAGCTAATTTCATCAACGTTCAGCATAATGAGCCGTTTCACAAACAATATTGACCTTATTCTTACTGTTGACATTTAGGAGGCATAAAGCAGAAGTGAAGGAGGCAGCCTCATACCTGTTGCATAAGCAGTACTAAGACAGAAAAGATGGTGAATAAATATAAAGCATATAAAATCAAAGTAAAGAGCACAGTGTTGCTGTTTTTGCACCTTTCCCTGAGCTTTCTCTCTTATATCAATATTAGCTTTTGAATAAATGAAAAAATGTCAGTGTGAGCTCTGCGAAATAGGTTCATCAGGGTGTTACCAATGTGCTAGCTCTTTTATTTCACAGCTTCCCTCATAATGTGAGAATCTATTCAATTGCATGTAGTAATGCTGCATATCCGATACTGTGATTTAGTCATCGGCTAACCTGTGTGTGATATAGTGCTGTGACGGGCGCACATTCAGTGTGATTCATCAGAATTCGTGGAGAATTAACAGCTTGCCAACTGTGACTGTCAAAAGCATCGTGATTTAACCGGAGACAGGGCTGGGGGATGGATGGATGGATGGATGGATGGATGGAGGGCGCATTGGTAATCGCCTGACCAACATGACTGAAATGATCTGAGGATATAGATATAGCATGGTCTTACGCTTGTCCTATTGGAATTTGCTCTGCAGCCTTCGCCCATCTACAGCCCTCTCTGAGTCACATCACTTGGTATGTGTGGAGGTTTGCTCTGCTGCACTCATGATGCACGGGAGAGCTGGCAGATATTAGATTTCAACCATGAGAATCACAACAAAGACCAGGAAACTGGTCGGAGTATCTGCATTTGAGCGTAGAATGTAAATTAAGGAGGTTTTGTTTTCATCAGTTTGTCTCTTGTCTGGCTGCCAGCATATCTCAGAAACTGTAGTGAAGTGTAGCGGGGTAGACCTTAGGCGAAAAAAATTACAAAAATTGATTAGATATTGGTGATATTAATCTGGGAATTTACAGCTATAGATGAATTTCATCATCAGCTAATAGAGACAAATGGAGATAGAAGACATTTTCCCAACCAAAATGTTCTCACGGCTTCTGAATCAGTTTGGTTGTTAAATTTTCAACACATAATCCACTTTTTCTGACCATAACTCCTGAAATTGCCTCCTAGGTTGATGGTTTTATGGTTGACAGTCCGACTGCTTTGCTGGAAAAACAAAAACATAAGATAAAAAAAGCCTCCCTGCAGAAAATGTCTATTAGCCCTTGTTAGTGCTTCATACCCGCTGTGTCTCATCTGGAATGGAAATCACTGGTGTGACTTGTGCTGAATATTCATGAGGCCCATGATAGGCCCACGTATGTTTCTTCTTCAGAGAGAAAACTGAATTAGAATACTAACATATTTATTAAAGTAGAATATTTTAGTTGTTTATTGTCCATTCAACTTTGAATATTTCATCCCAGACCTTCCTCTGGTTCTCTGGACGGTATGCTCGCTAGCAGGCAGGTTCTCCCCTTCCTCCTATTTCCTATCTTTAAAGTTCTGTATTTTAGTCATATTGCTGTAAATCATCTCAAGACTGTTATATTCATGCTTCCCCAAAATATATTTATTGTGTCAACAAATGATATTACTCCAAATATCAAGCAGTGTAATAATCAAGCTAGTTAGGCTCAGTTAGAGTATCAGAGTCACCCACTTAAATGTCAGAGTGCTCAGCAGCAACAACAACCAATTTTTTCCCCTGGGGCCTCCTATGAGGTTGCACTGTGGGAAGTCTGAGGGTGTGACCCATACTAGGGACCCTTTTACTCTGCACACGGCACAAAAACTGATTTCTATTTTATACTTTACTTTCATCATACCAGTTTTTGTAATTTTTTGTAAGTAGACACGGTCAGGACAGCTGATACCCCAGCTTGAATTCAAAAATACAACCACTAAGAAAACAAACAGGCTGTCTCATTTGACAACAGACAGACAAGACACGAGTGGATGCACAGTGGCTGGCTCTCAAAATTCAGACCAAGAAATTGAATTTTTTTTAAACTAATAACTTAGAAATAATAGATTTTTAAAAAATAAAACAATAACCAAAAACAAACAAAAAAAAAGATACAAGAAAGTAGCAAAACTTGGCCTGCATCCATACAACTGAGTGCTCCTGATGTGTTGTGCAGTTTGTATGCATGTGTGTGTGTGTGCGCGCGTGTGCACGTGAGTGTGTGAGCGTGTGCGTGTGCTCGTACTCTCTGAAGCCCACAGGGTTGTTCTCTGCTTTTGCTCTGAAAGACAAAATATCATCCTCGTTTTTCCTTTTTACCCTCTTTTCTCTGTCTATTTTAGTATCAGTTCACGGCACCATCTGCCTTACTGAACGCATGCACTTTTAAGCGTTTGTGTATGTGTGTGTGTGTGTGTGTGTTTGAGAAAGAAAGAGTGTGAGTGTGTAAGCAGACTCTATACTGTGTATGCATGTCTGGTCAGCTTACTATACTTGCCACCTCACAGATCACTTTTTTCTCATATTTCAGTTGATAACAGCACACAGCGAGCACATACTGTACAATACATACACACACATAGGTGTAATAATCATAATAAAAATTTGAAAAATAGAAACCATCTCACTGAGGGTGTGGGCTGAGAGCTGGCAATTATCACAATAATAATTTTAAGAAATTAAAGGGCAGGCAGAGGGAGGGGGAGTGAGAGTGTGATGAAGAGCCTCGACTGCAAGGTGACTCGAACATGACTGGAATATGAACAAGCTACCCCCCCTCCCCCTCCCCCTCCACCACCACCACCCCCCCACTCACCCACATACAGATTCACTGAATCTATTAGGAGGAATGATGCTCTGTCTCTCTCTGTCATACACCAAGGAAAGTAAGAAATGCAGCTCTTTTAACGCCAGTAGAAACACACATTTTTTTCATCTGGAGCAGTGTGTGTTTGACTACACTGCTGATATAAAACAATAATTGGAGCCTGGTCGATATTAGAGTTTTTGGATGTGTATACAGTACTTAAAGTGCTTCCCCCCTCAGGAATGTTTATAAA